CACCATGGCTGGGGGGCAGGGTTTCCAATCACTGTCAGTGGCAGGGGGCTTCTTCCTGCTTTCCCTTTCGCCTCCCTGCATTGTGCCTACATATGCAAATTAACTGCCATCTTGTTGGCAGTTAACTGCCATCTGAGTTGGCAGTTAACTGCCAATCTTAGTTGGCAGTTAATTTGCATATAGCCCTGATTAGCCAATGAAAAGGGTAGTGTCGTACGCCAATTACCATTTTTCTCTTTTATTAGTGTAGATAATTAAAAATTCTCATAATTTACTAATACATGTAATTTTACAAGCCAAGAGGGAAAGTAGATGGAGAAATCACTCAAATTTTTAATTGAAAAAAATATGAAATAAGGAGTTATTCTAGAAATAATGCACCTGGTTTTCCAAAATAAAACATATTGTTATAGGTTCAATTTACGTTATGCCTATTTTATGCCATATTAAATGTGGTTGCAATAAGTAGGATTGTCATTTTTAACAAATGAAATAGAGTCATGCTTTAGGTTCAAGACAGAATGACTAGTACTAAGCTAGCCTTTCCAAAATAAGCAGCAAAAAAGTATAAAAACATATTAAACTATAGTTTTCAGACACCAGAAAAGAAGAACAAAACTGTGTTCCTTGAGATAAGTGAATTAAGAAAAAGAAAACCCCATTATTGCTCCTGGAGACACTTTCTAAACCGCAGCACAGAAGGGAAAACAAGGCAAAGCATCAACGGTCTTATGAATTGAGGAAACAGAGATTGGAGGGCAGAGAATCTTCAGTGGCTTGAATGTATAAGCAGAGTAGCGGAAAGGCGAGTGTTCGGAACTCCAGTAATATCTAAATAGAGACAGGAGAGTAAGTACTAGCCAAAATGAAACATTGATTAAAAAGAAACATAGAAATAAAATTGAACAAAGACTCAGTGACCTGTGAGAAGTCAAACATATATATAATTGCATTATTAGAAGAAGACTGTAAGGTCAAAATATATTTGAAGGAATAATGGCAAAATTTGTGATTTAAAAAACCGAAGCAACCCCTAAATCTAAGCTCAAAATAATGAAGACCACACCAACACACATGACAATTATACTGAGAAAAAGAAAAAAATAATATTAAAAGCAGTCACATAAATAAGACACATCACAAGAAGATAAGGTGAACAAAATAAAAATGATGGCTGACTCCTCACTGACTTCCCTTAGGAAGATGGAAGATGATAAAAAAAAATATTTCTAAAGTGCTTCAAGAAAAAGGGAGGCCTTCCAACTTGGCTCTGGATTTAACTATTCATAAAATATCAAAGTAAAATAAAGATATTTTGGGAGAAACAAATGGAAAGATTCATCACCAGAAGAATTGAACTATAAAAAAAAATAAAAGATTTCTATTCAGTCTGAAAGAAAATTATATCAGATGGAATCTTTAATTTTTATAAATGTATGAAAAACAACATAAATGGTATATCTGTGGATAAGTATAAAATATTTTTGTGTTTTTAAATGTATATAAATAGTACTTCTGGCATAAATTTTAAAAGTTACAAAAACCATCATTCTCACCATAACCACCAAATTAGCTGGATAAGCTACAAATCATATGTATTTTTAAAAATAGCATCATAATGCTGAGGATGCAAATAAACTTAAAAGAACTATATTCCAGGAAGTGAATCCTCTATGAAAGGGGAGAAATTCATGGATGTTCTCCCATTTTCCCCACCAAGAGAAGGCACATTGGAGGGCCCACCAACGTTCTCCTTCAGTAACATGTGATGCTGACTATTCTGGATCATATGAACTTTAGATTCATTTGTCAACATCCATAAAACAATTTTTGAGTTTTAAGAACTTTTTGTATGGTAAGTCCTTTATCAGAAATGTCTTTGTAAGTACAGTAATTTCTTCCCGTCTCTGGCTTAGGATTGTTATCTTCTGGAACAACTGTAAATAGACCTAGTCATATGGTGGCGAGGTTTAGAGTGAGAGCAAGTGTAGATAGTCCTGTGATTAGGTCTCAGTGTTTTAGTGAGCCAGTGCCTCTGGACCGTGGTGCATGTGCACAATGGAATACCACGCAGCGGGGGGGAAAAGGAATTCTTATCACTTGCAACATCATGGATGGGCCTGAAGTATTACGCTAAGTGAATTAAGCCAATCAGAGAAAGATAAGTATCACATGATCTCACTCATATGTGCAATCTAATAAGCAAAATGAAGTGATGAATTAATAGGTCCAAGACATAGAACTATGAACAGACTGATGAATTTCACAGGGAATGTAGGGTTGGAAGGGTTGGGGGGTGAGATTAATGGGGGAATTTATATGCATATATGCATAGCCCATGGACACAGACAATAGTGTGGTGAAGGCTTTCGAGGGGCAGGTGCAGGGAAGAGGGAGTCAATTAGAAAACAAACAAACAAACAAAAAACAAAGGGAACATCTGTAATACTTGCAATGGTTAAGATTAAGAAGAAACCACAAAAAAACCACACAAGTGTTCCTGTGTTCCCCTCCCCTTCTCCCTAGGTGAGACAGGATGGCTACAGTGAGCTGGAGTCAGCCTTTCCCTCCTGTGAGGCTAGAGCTGGCTGGGATTGAGATTTTTCCTCCCCAGGTCAGTTAGGCTCAGATCATACCACAGTAGTTAAGCACTGCTTTCACTGAGTGGCCAGATTATTGTGACCACCTGACGTTTGTAGGCAAATTAGCTATAATTTTGCGCTGAAGTTGCTAGAGGGCCAGATCATTATAAATAGGGAAGCAGGTTGTTTACCACAACAATAGAAGTGGGTTTTTTTTTTTTTTTCTGAAGATATGGGTAAACAACGTGATTTAACAGCCTTTGAACGTGGGATATACACACACTGAGTGGCCAGATTATTATAAGCATCCCACAGTACTTCATAGGGCCACCTTTTGCCTTCAGTACTGCGGCGATTCTTCTTGGCATTGACTACACGAGATGTTGACAGGTGATGTGAGGAATCTGACACCATGCCTGATGA